TTGTGTGGTACATGGAGTGTAACAAGCTGAACATCTGCACTTCTGTGCAATATTCTATGTTGAAAACAGTCAGTCCCAACCGAATGACTGAAACAAATACTAAAACAAAGTTGTTAAGATCTTTGCCTTACAAACACCTTGACAATAGAGATAATAAAATGACTGCCATTTCAAAGAAGCGTATAAGACGAACATATAAAAAAACAAGTCTTCATTCTGTATACAACATACAATCAGAGCAAACAATATCAAAATTTTGAGTAGCGAAACCTATTGTCTGCCTTAGTATAGGATGTGAATGTTAAAGGCTACGGCGCAAAGTAGGTGAGATGATTTTTTTTTAAAATTAGAAATGACTTCAATTTTTGGCAGTAATAAAAGGCTTATAATAGCATGAAAAATGGGCATGGGGAATAAAGAAATAACACTGACAGAAAGTGGAGGTTCAACGTGTGGGGAGGGTGGGAAGAAAAAGAAAAAATATGCAAAGGAAGAGTTAAAAAAAGTGAATTTTACGGTACACTTACCTTATTACTACGACTGACTGACTGACTTAATTTCAACACAGAACTCTGCGCAGAAGTTCAAGTGACCACACTCAATATGGAGCACAAAAGGAAGACAAAAGAGACTCAAAAGAATGACAATAAACAGAAATGTACGGGAGGAACACTGGCAGCATGGAAAAACAATAGGGTTTAACGGATATAGGACATCACAAAGAGTGAATAAATCTGTGCCATTGTGAACGATTTTAAGCCCATATCACCTGTCGTCTCCAGCAATCGGCATTGAGAATCCCGAGGAGTCCAGTCAGACAGTCTACACCTCTCTATGTGGCTGGCTCAAAATAACTGTCAAAAGACTTCACAGACTTATGCCAGATTTTGATTTGGTCACCACTAGCTGTTTTCCAACCTAACCCTATGCTTGACAATATTGCTTGTATTAGATTGTTGGAAGCGATCGGCCAAAGGAAGCCTTAAACTTACATTATGCACTAGTTTGTACTCGTCAGTTAGGCGTATCTGCAGCCTTGAACTCATGTCCTGTCTGAGATTCGAACCCGCGTCACCCAGTGCTGCAGTCAGAGACGCTGCCACTGAACTAGCTATTCGAGCTCGCGACTGACCTCCTGTAAGACAATAGTGGATACTTTGATTGAATATTAGTAACTAGTGTAATGTGTCTAGTCCTTTCGTTGGTGCAGACTGACTTCTATCAGTCCAAATAGCTCCGTTTTAATGTCTCCAACTGCAGCATTGGATGACGCTAATTCGAACTTCAGACAGGACATGAGTTCCTTCGAGGTTGCAGATACACCTTGCTGACGAGTATCAACTAGCACGAAATTTAGGTCAAGAAAGGCTTCCTGTGGCCGATTGCCTCCAACCATCTAATACCAACAATTCACAATGCACCATGATGGCGAGTCACCTGGCATGATGATCACATTGCAAACATGACTGATAGAATTCAGTCTGCATCGAAGATAGGACTAGATACATTACACTGGTTACTGACTAGTGTTCAGTCAAAAATATTGCTCATCAATGAAGGCGGTGACTCGACATGCGTCTTCTTAACGTGTATCATTCTTATGTTACATAGAAATATGTAAAACCCTAATTATGTTGTGCTTTCCGATCGCTGAGTTATTGGCCAAACAACAAAAAGCAATTGAAATCATCTTGTAACAATAGAAGACAAAGGCCAGGCAACAGATCATCTATATGTTAACTGTATCCGCCTACACAAAGCCTTTGTTCTCATTTTTCTCATGACCAATATTGGGGACATAAACACTGACGTAAATTACTGTCCACCAATTTTGGCTAACAGCCAGCTCGCACCACAATCTCATTCATCTGATCTAAAATCACTTGTCATCATTCCATTGACACGAAGTTATCAGATGAGGAGTCTTGCTGAAACTTATGGGTTTCGTTGAATTGTTATTCCTTTTAAGTTGTTCACTTTAAAGTGTATGAAATAACAAACATTCATTTGATTAACAAGTTAGTGAGTGACTCGATAACAAAATCGGATAGACTTCGGTGAAAAGCAGATATATATATATATGGACAACCGTACGTCTATTCAAAGAGGAACTATATAACTGGATTCGCTCTGTTTCAAGGCATAATATATGTACAAAGTTCTGCCAAAGGTCTTAACATTCCTGTCGCTTGGATATGGGATCAACTAGGAGTAGTTACCATCGTAGTGTAAACCATTTACACTATGTTGATGGATTTAGGGAGAAGTTGTACTGCATTCGAACAGGGATCTGAAACCAGTAGAGTGTTCCTGTAGGATGACCAGCAGGCTAGCTGTGCTATTTCTCTGTTCTGAGAACAATGGTTTAGAAAAGAGAGACCCCGGAAATTGCACATTCCGACTTTCATTGAAGAGGTTCATCACCAGCCGTAAAGTCTTCATATAGACATAGCTTCAAAAATCATCAGAAAGAGATTACGTGTAACGTGCCAGTCTCAAACAGATTTTCCTTGAGCTTTACAGTCGAAAAGAAGGCTCTTTCTCCTTCGGGTAATTCAGTCTGACTTCTATAAGTGCTATATGTTGATATGATCAATGCATAGGAATATTTCAACACAACCTAGAAAGGATCACTACTCAAAATGAGTGCTTTTCGCTAATTATTATGTGGAAACAGAAAAACAAAAAATAGTAAAAGCTCAGATTCTAACCCTACGAATCATCATCGAACAGAACGCAGAATACTACTCAAATCCCTACCTTAACTTCACCTAGTTTAAAAAGGCCTTCGATAGCGTTGACTACGAAATAATTTGGAGACTACTTCAACACTGTGGGTGGAATGCCCCAAATCTTTACAAATCTCCTTCAGCAGTTATATGACGATACCGTTTGTTAGGAGATCCACAACGGATAAATCAGTGAAGCATTTGGAGTAAATAAAAGAGTGAGACAAGGCTGTCCACTATCACCGATGATATTCCTGATTGTGGTGGACTGGACTATTTAGAATACTGTACGTGTGGGGAGTGAGAATACAGGAATACATCCAATTGATATGAAGACTCTTGAAGATCTGAACTCCACGGACGATTTATTTCTAAGCTCAAAGACTTACAGACAGAAACCAACAAGTTAACAGAAGAGACAGCCAGCGAAGACAGGACAGAAAACGGAGGTAATGAAGATAACCAACCAACAGAAACAAGCACCAATCACGACTAAAAGAAATTTGGATGAAATCACTTCCTTCACTTATGTAGGCGCCATTGTTTCAATATTACAAGCATCAGGACGAATTAGGATGTTGAAACCAGCGGCGATTGAAAAAGCAAGACAGACCTTCATTACTCTGAAATCATTTCGAAAATCTTCTGCACTCAGCCAGCATCAAGAACAAACTTCGGATTTATTACAACATTGTTAAGTCTTCTATATGGGTTAGAAACTGGAGCAAAGGCGTCGTGAGAAGTATTTCCAACAGGCCTTGCAAGCTTTTATCACCAACCACCTTTGCGGTCTCCACACTGAAGATCAGATGACCAGGAAAAATAGGAATCAGCAAGAAGAAACTTTGAGAATGAACCTATTGCTCAAGAAATATGGCAAAGAAAACGGAGGTGAATCAGACACACGTTGACATAACACATCATAGAATCTGAATGCGAAACAGCGAGTTGTGAGTGTGTCCGATGGTGAATACATACGAAATAGTGTAAGAAGAATATGAAGGCGTATAAGCACTCATGGAGTCAGTTATAGAGAACTGCAGAGGATATGACAAAATGTTATAATAATAATAATTTGCTTTATTCCAAAACAGTATTTGTGGTACAGAATGGAATTCTCAACATTTTACTACATACAGTATTGCATCCAGTTAGTACATTATCAATAAATAAATAAAATTCTACATAGATTAAGGGTAATTTCAGTTCATTATGACAACATATCGGCATGTTGGTAGTAAAGCCAAAAGTGAACAGAATGTTTGAAGGTGTTAGAAAAGTAGATACTAGCATATTTAGTGGCGTAAGCTGTAACAAAAGGTCGAGATCTATAGAGTGTGAGAGAACGAAGAATGTTTTAAGTAGATTTTGTAAAGAAGAGAGAAACAAAGCAGCACATAACAGAAAAAGAAGACAGAGAGACAAAGAAAAGAAAGGAAGAAAACGTTGTACCTATAAATGATTTGAGTTGGAAAGACGAGATCCACCTGTTCTACTGACTATTCAATAAGTTAAATGTTTCACGCTTAATGCTTTCTTTATCGCACAGAACACGAACGAGCTCAGTAGGGTATGGTTGAGTTTTTCTACTCTCTAGTGCGAGCATATAGTTTTCTATATAGGCTTCTGGTTTTTCCTGATGAGATACAAGGGGAGAGTTGTAAATCAAGCGGGTGGTGATGTGAGTTAGATAAAATGGATTTAGCCCATTTTTCATATGAGTCCATGTGCCTGTCAACCAGAATGTTAACAAGCTGGTTAAGTGGCACCCTGTGGCTTACCCTGCTGACAACCTTCAACATCCTGCGTAATAAGGCATAGTCTTTCTTCAGTAGCCCAGGAAAAACTAAGGAGGAACAATAGAAAATAATAACAGGCAGGATGCAAGAGTTAAAAATCGTAAGAGTAAGGATTGGGTGGGTTATTCCAGAATGTCTTAACTTCTTGATGTAGAAGGTGAGACGGAATATTTTCTTAAAAATCATCAAGATATGAGACGACCAGGAACGATCAGCAGATAGAATGATGCCAAGATATTTAATTTCCGACTTGGTTTCTATTTCTGAGTGCCATTTATGTTGCACACCTCGTGTGGGTGTTAACCACCAGTTTGTTTTAGGTCAGATTTATGCCTAAAGGTGGCATTTACAGGGATTTAAGGTTAGACCGTTTTCCTTGGATCACGACGTTCAACTCGGAATCCAAGGCAAGGTATGAAAAGTAAAAATAATAATAATAATAACAATAAAAAGAATAATAGTAATGACTCACTTGTATACTTGACTCTAAATCGATATAAACTGATCCACGTGAAAATGTACGTCTCTTCCAATGCATTAACTGTGTAATATAAAAACGTTTCTCCAATAATAATACAAATATAAAAAATAAAAATGATTGTAATAATAAGCATAACATATCAACACTTAATAAACTCCATAATGATGCATTCTGTTTATACGGAATACCGGATTTAGTGAAAAAATTTCTTACAGCTATTGTATATACACTACTACTAAGACAATAATGCGGTGCAATACGAAACCAATTACTAATAAACACTGTAGTCTTTGCATAATCCTTATCACTATCTCCTAAAGACAGGATTTCAACAAAAAAGCATAAAAATGTTGTCACTGTGCCAATGACTAAATTCATACCACACACTAATACAAATGCTGTACTCGGATATTTAAATATGAAGCTAGAAGCATAAGTTAGTGAAATCATAGCACAACCATATAGGTATATAATTAAAATAAATTGACAAATTGATTCACGTTGTACATAAGCAGATTCCCCATGAATAACAAGAATTAGAATGCATACAGACGAGGAGATTAAATAACTTGTCAGATCAAAAATAAAATTAGCTGACCAATACACTGAAGGCAGAAGACCAGATAAATTTTGTAAATGTTTTGAATTATTAAAACGTTCATAGACAAGTAGGCTAACAAAACTAGCTGGTATAAAAGATAACGATAAGACAAGAAATAAAGATAATAAATAATCAGCTTTCATATTTTCACTTAATTGGGTAAATTTTGATATCTCCGGATTAGGTAAAGGATGATTAGTGATTATAATGCCAGAGTTGGTTGGATGACCAACGCCTGCACCTGCACCTGCGCCTGCGCCTGCGCCTGCGCCTGCGCCTGCGCCACCATTCTTCATAGACTCTGATACTGACGATGTTAAAATCATACGATATTGAAGATTTTGTAAAAGATTTAAATACGCTGCTGCTGATATATAACCACGATTATCATACCATATACGTATCATTTTTGATGGAGGTAAAGTAAGTCGTAGATTGCTGAGAAATTCATTCCAACTAGTCGATTGACTACTACTTAACACTTGTGAATACTTACCAAGTTTTGCAAAAATATTATAAAGCATATCATTTAATTCAAATTTTTCAACATTAAGAAATTCAATTCCACCGAATAGAACATTATTCAGTATTTTAGAATGATTAAGTATATAAGAAGGAATATCAATACCAGTTAAATTTAATAATATATCTCCAGTAGCTAATGGATGACACGAGTCTTTTGACAATAAAGATGTTGACGCTGATGATGATGACGAGGAGGAGGAGGAGTACATTTGACAAACTTTTGAATAATACGCTTTGTTTATTTTGTTCATTTGACCATTCGATTGAATTAAACAATTTGAACTAAGCGATGGTTGAAATGTGTGCAACTTCGATGGTATACAACCAGTACCAGTTAAACTTAAAGGATTATTCAACATTTTCACATAAGATACTAAAGGATTCTTTTCATTAGATAATGATAAGGATATATCAGTATCATGTGCATAAAAATGAAGCAACTCATTGATATGTCGACTTTTTAACAGCCAATGATTAATATCCATCGGAGGTTGTATTTCAGGTGGTTTAAATAACCGTAGAAATCCTATCGAAGTTATAATCAATATGCATGGAAATACAAACTCAATAATCCAGGATAATTTATGACGTTTTAGATAGATATAACGTTTAAACAACATTGCTTTAAGCATATTTTTACAAAATAAATTATATCTTAATGAGGGATTATTCCGATGCGATAAACTATTCTTACGAGGATAATGCTGATGATGTTGCTGGCTATTGCTACGATCGATTTGTTTCATTTGAAATTCAACATTACTAAATCCATTTTCATGATTAATAGAATAGTTTATAGTATCTGTAGGACTTTCAGGGGGTTGATTATCCCCAGTTACTGTGAGAAACACTTCCTCCAAGGATGAATCAGAGATTTCAAAATGTTCTATATGATGCATTTGACAAAATTCATGATTGTCTAATTGTTGAAATAATTTTGTAAAATTTCCTGTCAATGCATCATTAGTTGGTAAATAAATTGTTAATTTATTAGCGTTATGACGTAATAGACGAGCACCATTAACATAAGTTTGTATGACTTTGATTAATCCAGTTGTAGACAAGGATTCATTATTATTATTATTATTCCCATTGGATGTATTCAATTTTACAGGATCAACTTCCAGCAATAAATGATACCCTGAACCATAAACTGATTTCAGTGATAAACTTGAACCAGAACACAATACTGTACCTTTTGATATAATTGAAATTTGATCACCTAATAATTCACTTTCATACATATGATGTGAACTTAAAATAATTGTACGACCTTTACGTAATGCTTTCAGCAAATCCCATACAGCACGTCTTGAAAATGGATCCAATGAAGCGGTCGGTTCATCAAGAAGTATCACAGACGATTGGCCTAGAAAAGCTAAGAACAATGATAGCTTTCTACGTTGACCACCAGACAGTCGACTAGCTAATTCATTGCGTTTATCTGACAATCCAAGTTTTGATAGGTAATCATTCAACTTTTCGGTTAGATTAGAACTACTCACTCCTTTTAGTGTACCAAATAAGTAGATATGCTCAGCAACTGTTAATGAATCATAGAGAATATTGTATTGTGGACAATAACCTAACAGCTTTCTTATCATACCTAAATTTTTGTGTATTTCATGTCCATACATGGTTATTTTCCCTTCTGTAGGCTGTAAAATACCAACTAGAATAGATAGCAGTGTAGTTTTACCAGCACCATTACGTCCCAATATTACAGTGATTTGATCTTCATAGAAATTCATATTCACACTATGCAAAGCTACACGATTAGCTGGTTGATATATCTTGCATAGACTATCAACAACAACAGTTGGCGGTGGTATCATTCCACTGTGTGAATTTCCTATGCCGGTATGCAGCATTGTTGTCGGTGGGTTCAGTAAATTTTCTCTTTCATTTCTAAATGGATTATTATTATGATTAGTATTCATTAATAATTGAGAATTGTCTGTTGTAGATGATACTGATGATGAAATTGTCTCCTCAAAAATTCCAACACTGCTAAGTTTCCGTTTTCTGCGCTTTTTAACACTTTTCAAGGATGTTAACGATGATGGTGATGACGACGATAGATTTAAAATACCATTCAATACATATTTATGCATAAACACTGTATAATATCTTTTGATGGTTGGTACACCCCAAAAAGCTAAAATACCCATCAATGCTGTACCAATCCATAAAAGTAATAATGTAGTACCTAATGAAAAGATACTATGTGAACTTCCTGTATGCCACATATTTGACCATTGTGCACCATTCCCATTGATTTCAAGACGATTTAAAAATACCCAACTTAATGAATAACTAACTTGTGGAATAAGACCAAATCCTATTAACCAGATATCACTAGGTAATTCCTCATAGCGTAGGATAACAGCTGCTGGCATAAACAATAGAAAATAGGTGATACCAGCAACAACTGAAGCAATTGTTGCACGAACAGAAACAACTGTAAATAGTACACAATAGACAAGACATGATACAGTATAACTTAATATCATAAAATAACTCAATGTTATATCGGTTAGTGGGATAATTTTTCCATATTTAAGAATCAATACAACTGGTAATGAAAAAAATGCCATAATTATAAAAGAGATTGTTATCCATGCCAGCCAATTTATAGATAAAGAAATACCAAATGTTTGTAGAAAATCAACTAATCGACTTTCTTTTTCATCAACCATATATTTAACACTTAGGATAACAGATAACACCCATGTGAGTACCATTAATTGTGGCAGCAATAGGATAATATTGGCTAATAATGAATCGAATGCATATGGTGGACTTGGAAACATTTTCATTTCAATACCAACATTATGAATTAGGCGATTGAATAGACTTGTAGCACCAATATGCTTTGATGTGATTTGTATTAATGCTTTTGTCAACTGTTCTTGGACATCTATAAAACCACTAGTGAAATATTTCATTTCTTTCTGGGGATTACGACGTGGTATGGGGATATCATAGCTATCCATTACTTTATAATTACTTGTTGGGTATAAATACGATGGATCTTTACGTATAGATACAGAGAAGACATTAGGCAGACTTGAAATTGCCTGTAAACTAGGAGGATAATACTGATGATGATGAGGAGGAGGACTGTGGTGAGAATTATTCGTGTTATTATAATACAATGGGATTTGATCGAAAATCAGGCCGATAGGTGAAGTCAATGGATCATTTTGATGTTTAAACATATACTTGTCAAAATCTTCACGATTCTGGAACGGTAAAAATTTCTTTTCAATCTGAAAACAGTCAGTCAGTAGGTCACGTGCTGAGGCAATAAAATAGTCGGATAGACTAAGCAGCACTTTCCAATTTGTATTTAAACCTGCATAGTCAATAGTTGCATTTTGATTTAACATTTGTAACACAGCATAACAAGTATTTTGAATTTCTTCAGAGTATAATTTTTTTTTATTTGTATAACACTCGGTTAAATGATCATGTAATATACGCCGAATATTTGATTCATTATTGAAAAGATTTGTTAATACTGGACGAATATGAGTGAAATACGTTGTAGTCCATTGACGTGTACTATTCAGTATACGCGTGTATTCACCCATATTGTGGATCACTTCATCAGTGAATTGATTCGATGGATAATAGGCTAACTGACCGAATAGAAAATATCTTAAACGACCAAATGTTACAAGAAATGGTGTAGCGCTTAATATTTGCTTGATTAATGGACAAAGTTGAAATGTTTGTTTTGGTTTATCTGTAAGCAGTTTAACCGCTGATGCAATATCCATACCAGCGTGTTCATCTAATTGTTGAGCTAAATTATTCAAGACAGGTACACGATTAGATAACCTTTTATTATTATTGTTATTATTATTATAATTTGAATCACCACCATCAGTATCATCAGCTGTGAGTTGACTAAGTGCCTTATGAAAAAAATGGCCTAAATCATTTTCTTCTGGTGGTACACCACAAATAAACTCTGATACATACTTTAATGAATGTAAACCAGAATTATTTACATATAGCATAGCATATCCATTAAACCATTCTTTTAAATGATCAGCTGATGCTTTTAAACGTGTCAACTTTACACTAATTGATATCCAATCAAAGAGTTGTTCTGTTTCAAAAGATTCTGGATGACTTAACCTAGAGATGAAAAGAAAAGAAAGTAAAATATAAAAAACAATAAGTAAAGGAATAAATGAAAGGAAAAAAATACTTGCGGTTCTAGTGGGAAGCCGTGAGCAGTAGGATAGGTACATCAGGTTGAAGGTGAGGCAGTAACTAATCGAAGAAAATATTGCCAAGTGATAGTGCTATGTTATGAATTGGCAGAAGTTAGAATACATGGGCTAGTCAAATGATCCGGTCCCAGTGGCTTAATGGTCTACGAGCTCGCTAGCCTTGTAATCAGAAGGCTCTGGAGGCGGGTGCATACTGTGAAGAGTCCCGAACTAGGAGGACGAAACAGCTGTTCAGTACTCTCTTGCAGGTTTTCCAATGGTTCTCTAACTGGTGTCAGCTTATGATGAAATCCTCCAACTTTCAAAACCTTATTCCACACTATATTTACTGAAATCGGGATATGATTAATCCGCTTAAACATTTGGTTCTTGAACTCTTTTCATTCAATGCGTTAACTATCTAATAGGGTTCAAGAGAAAAAACACTATTCCGCATAGCTGCAGAAATGCAGGAATGGCTCTATATAAGAAGTGCGATAATCGAACACCTTGTCAATCAACACTGGTCATTCTACTATCTCAACAAACGCCTTCTTCTTCAAAGTAATCTATACAGTGAAGAATAACCATCTGCCAAAGAGAGACAATACGCTTTCGTCTCCTTGTTGGATTTCTGAAGCCTTAGCTATTCATTTATAAAAACCAGAACTATGCATACAAGAGAAAATTATTCAACCACTCCTATTACCATGAGAACAACCTTGTTGATTTCTACTGACTTGATTTTTGTTTGCCTGTTCGTTTTTTTAACTCCTTATAGATTTTGTATTTCTTCAGAACTCTTACATTATTGTATATTTCCCTTCGTTCCTATATGCATCGTCATTACAGCTTATTCACTAAATTATTCACCCCGTTGCGTAACTCTAAAACATTACTCAACTCCTTTTATGCATTGACCAATATTTAAAACAATTTCATCATGTGCTAACAGCGGTTAGAGAATCATTGGAAAACCTGGGAGTATTAGATGGTTGGAGGCGATCGGCCAAAGGAAGCCTTTCTAGACCTAGATTTCGTGCTAGTTGACACTCATCAGCAAGGTGTATCTGCAACTTCGAAGGGACTCATGTTCCTTCTGAGATTCGAACCCGTATCACCTATTGCTGCAGTCCTACAGGAAGTCAATCGCGAGCCCGAATAGCTAGCTCAGTGGCAACGTCTCTAGCTGCAGCAGTGGGTAACGCAGGTTCGAATCTCAGAAGGGACATGAGTTCCTTTGAAGTTGCAAATACGCCTTGCTGATGAGTGTCAACTAGCACGAAATCTAGGTCAAGGAAGGTTTCCTGTGGCCGATTGCCTCCAACCATCTAATACCAACAATTCACAGTGCACCGTGATGGTGAGCCACCTAGCATGCTGACCACATTGCAAACATGACAGTCTACACCGAAGATAGGACTTAATACATTACACTAGTTACTGACTAGTGCCCAATCAAAAAAAACAACCTAAGAGTACTGGACAGCTGCTTCATCCTATTTCAGGACACTTCATAATTACTCAGCCATCAGGGTTCGAATTCAGGACCGTCTATCTACAAAGCAAGCTCGTAGACTATATAGCTACTGGGAGCTAATTCAATGGTCAGTAATTTCAACTTCAGAATCTCCCAATCAAGAAGTTGTTATAAGCCGGGATTCATGGATCATTAGTTACATGGTTTATGAATTTGCCCTGTAAACGCAAGGTACTGGGTTCAGACCCCGGTGGGTGCGTTCTGCTGAAGAATCCCACATTAAGAGGGAGAAAACAGCTGTCCAGTACTTTCAGGGTTTCCAATGGTTCTCTAACCGATGTCGGCTCATGGTATAATCTTGTAACCAATCCAACTAAATCCTTGTAAACCAACACTTGAATTAACAACTATGTTTGTGACAACTCATTAATTTTGTTACAACCCTCTTTCAGGAAAAAAAATTTGTACATAAATGCTATTGTACAGCTAAAAGGGGAAAATGAATCCGCTAAAAACAGCCTCTTCACTGAACTTCATGTCTTGTTTTTACTACTGTTCGGATGGGAACCTTTTATGAAGAAAATATTCACTGGACTAAGGCATTTCATCAATACGATATGATAATACACATATGGAATAAATTATCAAACTATGGAGGAAAACTTAGACATTTCTGTTTATCTATCAGTCTGACTGCTCCGATGGAGCCAGTCACACAAGACATACAATTAAGCATATTTACCATCAGACTTCCGAATATCATCCAGTGTGGTTAAGCAAAGGAAAGGATAGGGAAGGTCTATCCGAAGCTCTATTCTAGCACATCTTGTAAATACTCAACAAACAATTGGTATTACGGCGTTCTGAGTGATCTCGACTTCACCTTAGGAGTTCGCGCTTTACACACAGTTGAAGCCATCGTGATCATCCACTTTAAGAAGCCTGTCTGACTGTTTCCCACATAGGACTTTGCACCGATGTGCGGAAGTTCAAGTCGCCACACTCCATGTGGCATACAAAGCAAGAGAAGGTAGAGGAAATGCATAGTAGAGAGACAGCAAACAGAGGTGTGAGACAAAGGAATAGTAATAACGAAAAATAATACAGTTTCATTGGAGATCATAAGTCACAAGGAGTAGATGCATCTGCGCCACTGAGAACGATCACTTTGAGCCATATCACCAACTGTTTTCAACCATTGGTTTTTACCGACCCGAGGACCCTAATCAGTCTGGAAGTCTACACCTTCCTACGTGACTTAAACTAACTGTCGTAGATTTCATTGACTGATGCCAGTTTTGGTTTGACCTCTGCTAGCTCTTTTCCAGCCTGACTCTATGTCAGCTAACATTGCCCGTAGAGGAAGGCGATGACTAGTCATGCTTACGTAACACATGTCCTAACCATCTCATTCGATATAGCTTCACAACCTCGTCGATTGATTTCCCCTCCCTCCTCACCTAGCACTCGACTGATGCCTAACCTCAATATTGCTGACCATATTATACCGCTTCACACGGGAGATAGAGCACAGGAACCTATGATCGAAGATAACTAACCAGGCTTTTCATGTCTTCCACTCTCAATGGCCAGGTCTCGCTCACAGCGATAAAGGAGGACGGAGTGGAGTGATGAGCAGTACACACGTCCTTTGATTGATAGCCAGCCGGATAACACGTCTACTAAGCCAGAGACGACGTAAACTGACATATGCGAAACTAGCCCTCTGTATGTGTGCTGAGATTTCGTCAGAGATCAACCGTTGGCACTATCTGATGGTACTTCCCAAATAAGTGGAGCGGTCAACGTGCTCTACCACTTCACTTCCTACCTCTAAACTAGGAGTCAGTGTAGTCCAGTCCTGTAACATCATCTTACATTTGGCGGGAGCGAATCGCATGACAAACATTCGTAGATTGCAGCTCAAGGTGTTTAGAAGACTCTGCATTTTATCCGAGTCCTCGCCTAGAAGGACTATATGGTCTGCATAAGTAATCTAGGCTTCTTAAAGCCTAGCTTACTCATGTTTTCAGACACTTTCTCTACCTTGGTCGGCATTGTTTTAACAATCTTTAATTGTCGCATAAATTCTCCTCTCTTGATTTTATCTGATATTGAATTAAGTACTCCATCTTTTATGCTTATTGCCACTTAAACATGTTTCTTCAATTGTCATTCCACTGAATCTAACAACTCAATATTATTTAAAAACATCGATAGTGTTAATAACGATTATTCCTTAATACTATGTAAACACATAACTGTACAGACAGGCAAGGAATTTATCGAAAATAACATTATTTACCCAGACTTTCTATTGTCTTTTAAATGAGAAAAACCTCAGAGTGTACACTATGAATATGCGGTAAACTCACTTACAGTCAACTTCAGCTTGTTGTAATATGAACGTCCGTGAGGTATACTTGATAGTTGATGATTTTATGTTATTATTATTATTCCCTTGAGTTACGAGCCTTTAGTTGCCTCCACAATTTCGCACAAATTCCCATTTCCTCATGATACGACCTCCTCCATGTCACACTTCCGGCCGACAACTGCTACCTTGCCGTGGTGGTCGGGCTTGAATACCACAGTGACCCAACAAGCTAAACTGGCTGGGACTCATGTCCCTGCAGGTCCTACCATGTCAGGAATGTTGTTTGGACAGCGGTTAAACTAAAAGCAGTTACTATGGGATACATGGACTCCAGAATCCAATCGAATCAAATAGCGTATGAACCCATATGGGTCACCGGAAACCATGGAAATGCAGCTCCTGACGCTGCTCCGCTGCCTTGCGGATTAGATTCCAAGTCAAAGGCTCGGGGTTGGTCCCTTAAGAAAACCACTTGCTTCGGTCTGAGCGCCCGGGCAGTATCTCAGCCCTCACACAACACAACAACAACATGTCACACTCAAGCTAACAACACCCAACTCGTCAGTTCCAATTCAAGTTCCACTCAGGGACGCACCTGGCGCGTGATATTTCCGAACAGTTTCCTGAGCATATTTCCAATCCGCCTACATTTCCTTCCGAATTTTTGTCAGGCCGTAGGTTCTTGATTCGTTCGTTCCCGGAGTTTCTTATAGCTTCTCGTTTCCGGTTGACCATGTGATCTTCAGTATGCAACCCGCGAAGACAGCCTGTTGGAAATGGTTTTGATGAGACACACCAAGAATAAGAATTGACTTAACGGTGGTGTTGAAAATCCGAATCTTCTTCTCTGTGATTATTTCAGCAGACTTCCAAACTAATTTTAGTTTAATGAAGGTTTGTCTCGCTTTAAAATCCTCAGTCATGCTGTCGCCTGTAGTTGAAACGATCCTTTCCAGATAAGTGAAACATCTTTAATTGATGTCAAAAATTCAAATAGTCGTAGTCCTTAAGCAATTTGGCGGATGATGACTAGCTGTGGAATCCAGGGTGCGTATTTCACCCTATT